TGGACCCCAGGACTCATCCTTCGCCGGCGCGGCAAAGTGCTCTACGAGATTCAAGTTGGTCCAACCAAGTGGATACGCCACGCGAACCAGATCCGGCCGACAGATGCGCGGATCCTGCCCACAGGACTGAGTGATATGAGTCTAGAAATGCTTCTGGACACTTTTGATCTCGGCACCATCCCGGAAAATCAATCAGTTGCTTCGTCAGAGGCCCAACCTGAGCTGAGGAAAATACCGTTACTACACACGCCTAATCGGCCTGGTTGCCTTACTCGCTGCATACAGCACGGCGGGTGAGAGTAAACAGGCTGTTGCTGACACCTCCCTTCTTTCTCTTTCAAATACTTCTCCCTCCTGTCCCCACTCTATTAATAACTCTCCTCTTGCAGGACAAGCACTTGGGACTGATGACTCCGTTCGTCTTGCATCGGTTTCGCATGCAGCAGCTGCTCGTCACATGGCGCCGACATCCTCAGGTATCTCCAAATCAATCTTCAAGTCTCGACACTCAGTCCATATGACCATTTTAATGTCCGAACTCCGAAGGAAGCAAGACACTAAGCTGCTCTGGCCGTCACACTGGACTCGTCTGGCATTGATGTGTGCTGTGTCTTAGAAACAGTAATTCGAGATGCGAACACAGTAATTGGGAGAACCGCCCCATCAGTCTCCACACGCTTCCGGTTGCGCACTTCTTGTGATCCAGAGGCTCCTGTGGCGGAATGTGCAGGGGTTGGTATCCCGCTAAGTTACCAGGCGGAAGGATTCTCGCTTGACTGGATACCTGTTGATAGCCACCTCCGTGCGGTTCATTTGGCATCTGTGAAGGAGTCTCATAAGTGGGAAGTTGATAGATGTCTGTCTGCACCTCGTTTGACTGTAGCTCCGACGCCGTCAAATACATGTTTTGTGACGCCCTGAATGCCCTGCTGCTCAGACATTGTGTTGGTTGCCGGAGATTTAAATACGCAAGTGAGCAGGCTTAGCGTGTCTGAGACTCAATCAGGAGGTCGATATAGATTGGACTCGGTACGTAAGGACAATGCGGAACGGTTGCTTCAGCTGTGTGCTGATCGCAGGCTGTTTTATGCAGTACTCACTTCCGAAATAACTTAATTCGTCTGGTCACATGGTGTCCTCCAACGGCATGCCGGCCACAAACTCAACTTGACCACACGCTGCATACAGCACGGCGGGTGAGAGTAAACAGGCTGTTGCTGACACCTCCCTTCTTTCTCTTTCAAATACTTCTCCCTCCTGTCCCCACTCTATTAATAACTCTCCTCTTGCAGGACAAGCACTTGGGACTGATGACTCCGTTCGTCTTGCATCGGTTTCGCATGCAGCAGCTGCTCGTCACATGGCGCCGACATCCTCAGGTATCTCCAAATCAATCTTCAAGTCTCGACACTCAGTCCATATGACCATTTTTAATGTCCTCACTCCGAAGGAAGCAAGACACTAAGCTGCTCTGGCCGTCACACTGGACTCGTCTGGCATTGATGTGTGCTGTGTCTTAGAAACAGTAATTCGAGATGCGAACACAGTAATTGGGAGAACCGCCCCATCAGTCTCCACACGCTTCCGGTTGCGCACTTCTTGTGATCCAGAGGCTCCTGTGGCGGAATGTGCAGGGGTTGGTATCCCGCTAAGTTACCAGGCGGAAGGATTCTCGCTTGACTGGATACCTGTTGATAGCCACCTCCGTGCGGTTCATTTGGCATCTGTGAAGGAGTCTCATAAGTGGGAAGTTGATAGATGTCTGTCTGCACCTCGTTTGACTGTAGCTCCGACGCCGTCAAATACATGTTTTGTGACGCCCTGAATGCCCTGCTGCTCAGACATTGTGTTGGTTGCCGGAGATTTAAATACGCAAGTGAGCAGGCTTAGCGTGTCTGAGACTCAATCAGGAGGTCGATATAGATTGGACTCGGTACGTAAGGACAATGCGGAACGGTTGCTTCAGCTGTGTGCTGATCGCAGGCTGTTTTATGCAGTACTCACTTCCGAAATAACTTAATTCGTCTGGTCACATGGTGTCCTCCAACGGCATGCCGGCCACAAACTCAACTTGACCACATTATAATCAGTTATCGATGACGCGGATCAATAACTGAATGCCGATCCTCTTGGAACATATTTGTGGACTCTGACCACGCTCTCGTCCGGAGTCGCTTCACCCTACGTTTTCCAGGGCCGCATAAGGTGCGGACAAATCGCTTGGCAACTGAAGGACCGGCGAATCCGGATGTTAGACGAACTTACCAAAATCCTCTTCCAGAGTCTCTTTCAAAGGTCCCCCCATCGGGTGTGAACTCATACTGTGGCGAGATTGCCACCTTTTTGTAGTGCTGGGAATTTCGCCCGCCGCACGGCACCACCAGGCTCACTCAGGCATTGGAAATCAGACCGAACAGTGGCACTTCTTAAATCTCGGGGAAATATCCCATCCGGCCCCGAACATAACTTGATGTGACGAATTTCAGACGTCAGGTGAAGGTGTGCGTACAAGTCGAGCGTGAAATGTGGTGGACACAGAAAACCAGAGAGCTGGAAGAGGCCCAGGAAGCCGATAATGCCCGAGGATAGAAGAACGCCTCGAGTCCGACCGCTCCCAGAAAACCACGTGTGAACGAACCCAACAATGATCGGAATGGAGTGAACATCTCGAATAAAGAAGAACGCCTCGACCGATGGGCCGAATACTTCGAACAACAGTTGTCTTGGCCACCAACCGGCACCCATCTGGAGCCCACAGATGACTTGGAACCGCCTACGGCCCCGGGGGGTCTATGAATGCATATGCTCTCTTAAGCGCAACCGAGCCTCTGGTCTGGATGACTTCCCATTCACATTGTTCAAAGATGGGGCTGAAGTCCTCAGTCAGCGCTTGCCTGATCTGTTTGCTTGCGTTTGGGAAAGGTAGTCTGTTCCAGGCACCTGGGAGAGTCGGTGATAGTGCTCATTTTCAAAAAAGGGGCTCGTAGTGAGTGTGGTAACCACAAGGGGATCAGCTTGACCCCGGTCGTAACGAGACTGTTGGAGTCACTGGTGCTCCGTCGCTTTATGGTAGCTCGTGAAACACTAACTCGAGAGCGGTAAGCGGGATTCAGGCCTGGTACTGGTTGCGTTGACCAAATTTTCACATTAGAACCACGCCATACGTATAAGCGACCTACAATTCCAGTGTCCCTAGAGTCCCAAGGCGCATTCGACTCGGTTGACCGGTCTGTTCCGCTTGACACACTTGCCCACCAAGGAACGCCTCGGAAGTTCGTGAATATAATAAGCTCTTTGCATTGCGAGACTTCCGGACGTTTGAGAGTATAAGGTGAGCTCTCTTCCGTACATAAAATGGTGTCCGTCAGGGATGTCTACTCTCCCCTTTCCTGTTTAACTTCGTGATCGATCAAATCATGAAATGAAAGTTGGAAGATCTCCAAAATCCCGGTGTTCAAACAGCTTGTGACGAAAACTTTGTCGATCTGGAAAATGCAGACGAATTCGTCCTCATACTCAAAGAGAAGGCGCAAGCGTTTTTGGATGATCCGTCTTAAGTCATCCAGTCCTTTGATATGCACTTTGCACTCAGAGGGTAAGGTCATGCTTGTAGACATGCAGTCACTGAGCCCGCCACTTACAATCCAGGGAGAAGCTCTGAGATTTGTGAACCGTTTTTCCTATCTTGGAAATTGTATTAGTTCTGATTTTAGTGTGACATGACGTGAGTACACGAATCTGCAAGGCTCGGGTCGCGTTCACTAATTTGAGACACCTATGGCGCCAGTATTTTATTCCTGAATCTCAAGGGATATGTGTATCAAGCTACACTGCGGACTGTTTTGTTGTGTGGCAGTGAGACTCGACCTGTTCGAGCAACGAAACTCAGACGTCTCCAGGTGTTCGACAATCGTTATCCTTCACAACAAGGTTTTCAAATAACTCATGGTTGTACGGCAGCTAAGTATCTGTGTTGAACACTGATGTCATGCTGTTGATGATGATGATCTGCAAAATATCTTCGGAAAGAAGTATTATATTTTGTTGACTTTGCAGGTTCAATCAATAGCCAGCAATCTCTGGTCCTAGTAGATGCTGGCAGTAATGGACCAAGAGTATTCAGTATGAACCATGTTCCTGCATGTGCTACCATTTCAAAACTACATGTGTTAAGCCATTGTAGATTTCCGAATATCATTGTCTCTGGCAAAGGTAGTGCATTCGCATCCGCTAAATTTTCTGCTTTCTGTTAACAACATACAACATGTGCGATCACCACCGTTCTATTCACAATCAAATGACCAAATAAAAATCTTTATGGACACTTTCAAACGCGCATCCTTAAAACACAAAGGGAAGGTGACCAAACCGGAGATGATCGAAACGTTTCTGTTGAGTTACGAGGCGATACCAAGTATTAACGCTCCAAATGGGAATGTCCTGGCGGAGGTACTTATGAACCGGAAGACCCGTGCTTTCTTCCACTTACTCAGTGCTGTGTGAATTGGTCAACATTGCAAATCATTGTTTCGTTCAGCTGTAGCACTTTCGGTGTCTAGCTGCCGTGCCACCCGAAGGACTAGGATACTGCCAGGTTGCCAAGGAAGTCGAGATGTCGCAGTCGGGTTCGAACCACGGACCTTCCGGTCAGTGGATTCGTGCTCTAACCACTGAGCCACCTTGCTCCTAATCATGGTTTGGAGCGTAGGCTTCACCGTACTCCAAAAGCCGAAGTCCGCTCCTAGATCAGAGCTAACGTCCTCATTCACCAGGTAGGTTTTTATCCAGTGGATTGGTTGTTATAAGTAGCCTGAAGTTCCCGCAGCCCGACCTAAGACTGTCATCTTGTCGTGGTGGTCTGACTTGTGTGCTGCAATGACCCTGCGGGCTGTAGTGGCTAGAACTCACTTCCTAAAAGTTCAGTCATGCAAGGAAGGTCGATGGGGAGCACCCCGACGAAGAACATCGAGTTATCTTATTACCAGGCGGTCTGGAGGTAAAGTCGTACACTGTCCTCTGCGATAGGAGTGTGAAGACAGTAAGGTCTTTTCCCCGGGCGATCAGTATGTTTGTATTCATGGAAGCAGGGATGCTGCCTTCCTCCGAGGAAGGACGGGTTAGAAAAAGTTGGCCCTAAAACCGCACACTGTGATCGCCCAACGGTTGACCGGGACCTCCGGTGCATTATTTAATACGGTTGACCCACTGCCTCGCGGGGTAGACTTTTGAGGCTAGCGGCAGGGTCCCAGAACAAAACCCTACACCATCCCATTGCCTTGAGGACTAGACTTTGAGCCAGAGGCCCAAGGTGAAATACCTCAACCAAACCCCCTTCTCCGGCCTGGGTAACAGAGAAGTACCATTTGCCCTTGCAGCTCTTCGTCCACCGGCTTCCCACACCCCCTCCCCATCCATTGAGCAATGCAGTGCGATCGACCCATCTGTCAATCCCGTAACCGCTATTCCATGTTTAAACCCTCGCCCAGAAAAAATAAACCAAAATAATAACATACTAGCCTCGAGAGATCTGGTGGAGTCTGATAACTATACTGCAAAAGATTTGGACCGAATAGCAGCCGAACGGAGCTTCTCGACCGTCATCCCAGTCTTCAAAAAGGGCACAAGAATGCCATGTGCAAACCATTGTGGTATCCGCCTAGTATCCTTCACATCTAGAGTGCTCCCTAGCATTATTTTGTGCAGGTTGATAGATTACCGGGAATCAAGTTGGGTTTCGCCCTGATCGAGGATGAATCGAGCATACCTTTGAGACAAATTCTTGAACAGCGCCACTTCTTCAGACGTCCCGTTGGTTGTTTTGCTGGACTTGAAAGCTGTTTTAGATTCTGATGATCGCCATAAACTTCGCCAGCGTCTGGCGATCAAAGATGCCCCCTCCAAATTTATATCCCTTATGAAGGTACTGTATACAAACTCCTGTGGGCGCGTACGGGTATACGACGAGCTTTCCCCTGAGTGCACTACGTTCATTGGCATAAGATAAGGCTGCCCTCTTACCTTTCTTATTCAACTCTGTTATTAATGTGCTGCTTGAGATTTCTCTGTCTGCATCTGAAAGCTTGGGGTCGAAATGCTCCCGCGACATCCGCTAATAGAAATTGATTATGCATACGATATTGCTCTCCTCATTTCAGATCATCCAAAAATGGATGCGCTTCACACCTACAAAGTGTAAAGTGCTGCTAGAAGATCAAACCCAAACCCCATGCTTGCAGACGAGCCAAACGGCGTAGTAGATAGATCTGTTTGCCTAAGCGGTTGTATAAGTTCCGTGGAACTGGCTGGAGATTATATTACTTCTGTAACCGGGAAGCCCAGGGTGTTTTGCCAACCTCCGATACTTATAACGCCGAAGTGACAAGTCTATCTATCAAGGGCAGAACTTGCACTACAGTGGTACGATCCATGAAAGGAAAGAAAGCGTTCAGCTGTAGCACCCTTCCGGTGCGTAGCTGCCATGCCACCCGAAGGAAGCACGAGGGCTGGGATACTGCCAGGTTGCCCAAGCCTAGACAGGGGAAGTCGAGTGGCAGAGGTCGGATTCGAACCACGGACCTTCCGGTCAGTAAACTCACGCTCTAACCACTTGGGCCGTCTCGCCCCCTGGTACGATCCATACTGCTTCATGAATCAGAGACGTGGCCCTTACGGGTAGAGGACGTACGAAAAGTGCCTGTGTTCGACCATCGGTGCCTCCGAAGAACTGGCCAGGTCTAGTTGAAACAGATTAGCAATGCTGAGGTACGCCAGATGGCCTTAGGAATAAGGAACTCTCTCGCAATAAGTTAATTACTCACGCTTCATAGGTTACGCTGGTTAGGACATGTACCCCGCATGCCAGAAGACCGTCTGCTTCGCAAAGCTCGTTTTTCTCAGCCCTGTGCTGAGTGGAAGCGACCGAGAGGTGGGCAGCATATGACCTGACAACAAATTACGAAAACACTAACCAGTAAACTTGGTCGGGTGGGCAACCGCCGCCTCCCTGAATGGGGGCCCTGGGACTCAAATCACCACGAGTGGCGGAGGTCGGATTCGAACCACAGACCTTCCGGTCGGTAAATTCGCGCTCTAACCACTTGGACTATCTCGCCCAGCCGTATGCTGAGTGGAAGCGACCGAGAGGTAGACAGTGTGGTTACGAAGTACGAAAACAACCAGTAAACTTAGTTCGGTGGGCAACTGCCACCTCCCTGGACTCGGGCCCCAAGACTCATCTCACCTGTGGTTAAGGACACTGGCAGAAATGGGCCAGTCGCGCTGTCAGTGGCACTTGTGCATCAAAGCTATCAACTTCAATGCGTATTCACTCGATTCCCGAACTAGCTGTATATGCCATCGTCTCCAAGGCTTGGCTGTATATCCTACTCTCCCACTTTCTGGTGATCGAAACTGAACAGCTGGAGCCAGTGCGCCTGTAGCACATGGTTTATAGCTGATAAGTTGATTGAAAATTGCCGCAAAATTCAACAAGCGTATTTCATGCTCTTAATCGCCGCGCTTCTTTACTAGAGGAATGCTATTGACAACCTGGTCGAAATATTGGATGACTGAATTACATTCTCATGATGGGAGCAGGCTACTGATTCCGTTTCTAAGTCTACGTGCATGTACCCTTGTCATGAATTGCAGAGGTGCGGAGAAGCCCAATGTAGGGACATCATTATGCTCTTGTACCCGGCACAAGTGTCTGAAGGCTGTTTTCTGATATTCTTTAGAATACCAGATGAATCAATCAATGCACCCTCTACTGAACGGAACTCGTTTAAGGAGGGAGCATACGCAGCATCGACTAGGGGAACTGGACGGCTCGCGCTACCCTCCTTATACTTTCACTTCCCTTATGCGTTTGGGAATAACGTTCCCGTGCACATTTTACTTTCGTCCCTCCGTCTGCTCAAGTATGGAGGAGACGATGAATGATGGTATATTGTGTTAATGAAAAACTTTCAATTACTGCATTACAGTTCGCCTGGCTGGTGCATTATTGTCCGTAATCAGCGCATCCGTCATGTCTGGTAGATCTCACTACGCATCCTACAAAGGCGGTCCGGTTAACCGTGGCGACCCGGATGACAAATATATGTCTGAACTGGAACGTACCAGTTTGTTCCCACGGTTTGTTCAAGAAAGGCTACTAACCGACCTATGCAAATCTGAATGGCGTACTTGGCAGAAGTGTCTACGAGAACATCAGAAAAGTTGGTTTGCCGCCAGCAAATGCAAAGGCATATTCGACCTGGTCAACCAGTGTCAGAATAAGTAAGTCGACGAGTTCAATTTGACCGTAAAGGGCGTTTACAAGCATCGATATAGCTTACTGTCTGAACTTCTCAACGACAACCGGGTGTGCGTTTCCGTTTTACAATCAAGGGTATGCACTAAGGTCTTTTGTTGAAACTATGAAATCTCACATGGCAGCAGTCACGTATCACTGATGGTCGTTTCTTTTCTAGCGAAAATCGGATGCACCGTTTAGAAACTATTCCCCACACACTCTGTTGTCCATACTTTTATTCGAATTCCCTAGCCTTCGCATTCTGTAGTGGGAGAACTGGCATTCATGTCTTGCAAACACCAAGCCTTCCAGCATCGTTTATTCACCATCGCTTTATGCAGCAGGTGTTTCCTTGTGCCGTTCAGATGAAAAACACCTTAGATCACTAAGTTGTTCCTGTGAGTTCACACAAAGCATCGCAGCCAACTGCATGGAACACCAATTTTGGTGACTTTGCAATTGCTTGAAAATATTACTTTTTTGGTGTCCACAGTCTCTTCGCCTTTGTATAAACCATGTGGCAGAGTCTGTGGTGACTCAACCGGGCAAGCTAGGGGTCGCGAAATCGGTTACCTGTCTAGGTGTGCTTGTTTCTTCGTTTCCAATAAGTGTTCTTCCGTCCCTACTGAACACTGCTCGCATCCGCTTTCGATCGCATAACTTCCTCTTGAATCAGTTTCGTCAGCGGGAACGTGTGGAGAATTCCATAAAATTCAGAAATCATTAAACTCGCGGTTCCTTTAATGAACCAGTAGGGCGATGACGTTTACTTTTCACTAGTCATGCGAAAATTAGGACTATATCTCTTCAATTCAATTACGTGCTTTTAGCGGCCTCAGCTTCCTTGTCGAGAATAACATATACATTACTGGCCCGGGACACGATGAATGCCTCATCGAATTCTTGGGCCAGCATAGTTCAGTCATCTCATGTAGAATATGATATAAAGTAGCACTTCGCTGTTTTCAAAGTCACTGGCAGTATGTAGGCGCGCGTGTATAAAAGTGAGCCGGTAGATCTAACACGGATCAGAAAATGGAGTGTCGCGGCTAAAATCGACAGTATACATTTACCCCACATGAAGACTGAATATGCATCCGTCATCCTTAACTGGCCTGTTTTGCGCCACATTGAAGAAAAACTGACAGATTATTGATTAGACTAGTATTTCATGAGAAGTAATGTCTCGCTGTTCAGAAACACACATGCCGCTTTCTCAAGAGAGCATAAAAACTCCCCTTTTCCACTCGATTCTCTTAAGGGTTTTGGTAATAAACAGTTGGTTAACTGGCGCTATTCATTTGTTTCAGGTTCGTACTGGATCCTGATGAAGTGCAGAAATTGGAGCAAGAGTATTTGGAGATCCGCTCGGAATATCGACGCACCGGTGTTGGACGACCCATAATGAATTCACAACGAATTCGTGAATTCATGCGTGGAGAACCAACTTAAGGAGGCAGTTTTGCCTGCCTTCCCCCCCCCCCTTCCTTGTCTAGACTAAGGCCTTAGGCTGTGAAAACGGAAATACCCAGATGTCCTGAAGAAATACATTTGTGAATACAACGCACTTATCAACCTGATCATCGGAGGTAACTATTGAGTATACGTGGACGAGGAAACCAGGAAAAGTGGGACCTTGTAACTTGACAATGGGGAGGTGAGGCACATTCTCATGTTCTTTTAACGTTAGGAGTGAGTACGATGGAGAAAAAGTAACTACAAATATAAGCAGCAATAATGGTCAATCACAGCATTACACGTGTCTTTAGAGCTAGGTTGGTGCCCGGACGAGCAGCTAATCAACGGCCGGTGTTGCCGATAAATACGGCGCAACTTTGAAACACTAGGAAAATTGTAAAGGTCTGATAGCAGACAGATCATCGCGGGAACGTTTTGCTTCGTTGCAAGCAGAGAGGGAATAATCACTTGTTGAAAACGATGGGTGTGGTAAGATGAGTAAGGGACATGGAACACAGGTAAGGAAATGATAAACACTGTGTTCGGTCAAGAGTACCCATAAAAGCACGTCTTTCGTACTGACCGCCTAGGTTTGGAAGTGATGTGTCTACAAGCCGGGGCTGATCTGAAATGGTCGCGGAAATGCGTCTTCCATGGAATGCAACAGTTTCGGGTGAACAGCGTCTGTCCATCGGCGTTTTCTTGCATGATTCGCTGTAGCTGGAGGGACGGCGGCAGGTACTGTTGCTGCAGGCAAAGTAGCCTGTTGGGGAGCTATGGCTGGTGCCCGCTCTTCAGATTTCCTGGGGAGAGATAGAGCAGGTGGTTTGAGTTAGTACGCGGACTAGTCATTCCGAAGAGAGGCAGTACATTACTCGCGGTTAACTGACGGACATTTCACTTTCTAGCAACGCTGCCAATAGGCGACCTGGCTAGAACGAGCTTCTAAGAAATAATGGTGCAAATCCGAAGAGACTGAACAAGAGGTGTCCTCTGGATACCTTGACGGATGTAGAAGGGGCGGTATTTTCTAACCTTTAAGCAGGGATCTAATTCACTGTCAATATCAAACTTCGAGTTGCAATGGTGAATACTTGACTTATTGATGCACATTCGTAACTTAATATTCCCCCTCAAAATGTCATCCCTTCTACGCAATTGAAAAGGACAACGCCAGTCAATCAGATCGCTGATCATCAGCCCAGAGTAGAATGATTCAGCATTCAACTACTAGCCGGGGGGCTTCGAATTTGAATCTCTCTGGAGATTCGCCTAATGCATATTGCTGATGGTTCTCATTACAGTCCGCCTCTGGCTTTCGGCATACACTGACTTCACTTATCGGAAAAAGAAACACCCAAGATTACTTGTTGCTGCTTTCAAACTTGCCGGTACTATGGATAAGTGATAAGTAAGCGCATGTTAAGAGTCAAGTGACACTATATCATTTCAGCTGATAGGAATAGGCTCAGATTCCACAGAGATGATTCGTTGGAAAGCTGGGACAGTGATTAAAGTGACAGTCAGGCGTCTTTCTGATAAAGGGTCACCTTCATGAAGCATCGTTAACCGGAGACTGAGTATGGAGACAGTAAACAAACACACCCCACACGTCGATATTACTCGGCATCGGTGTTTAACACTGTTGGTTGACTCAGGGTCAGGATCCGATTACCACCGCATGAGCGGCATATTAGATTAAATGAGAAGTAAAATTTTATGTAGTATCCTGGGCCAGTGCAGTGACAGATTAGTGTGAGTGGTAGTGCCAACCAATGTGTACACGCCACCAAGGTAACGATACTTTGTGTATTAGTGATGAAGATATCAATAAAAAAACAGGATTTTCTAATCCTACTAAACTCAAACTTTGTTGAAACATGAATTTCGAAAAAAAATCTGGATCACGAAGAGCGAAGACTAGTTTCTTTCGAAGCTTTTCGAAAAGTCCAGCGTTCTGTGGACCATGACGGGCCAACTTCTCATGTGCCAAGTTGTCTAGACCGCAGAAAAAGTCGTCCAGCTGTAATACCCTTTTGGCACATGGCTGCCATGCCACCCGAAGGAAGCACGAGGGGCGAGATACTATCAGGTTGTCCAAGCCTAGGCAGGGGAAGTCGAGAGGCAGAGGTTGGGTTTGAACCGCGGAAATTCCGGTTCCAGTTTGTAAGTCCGCGCTCTAACTACTGGGCAATTTCGCCCCCAGGGTAGGTGGACAATCACAATTTCAGCCATCCGTATTTTGGAGGCCAATTTAGGTTCCCCACTAATCAAAGTTTTCGTGTGAAAAAAAACATCGTGCGAACAATGCGACGGCAGAGCAGACTCCTCTAGGTTATTGAAATGTCGACCCAATATGGCTGGTTTCGTGGAACAAATGGATACCTGTCTGACATCAGGGAACTGAATGAGGCGAACCGATGTAATGATGCAATCTACCTCGCTGGAACAAATACCCAAATCGTATGCTGCTTTTCTAACAAAACATTTAGTGCAAATGGAATATACCCCACCGAAACTCAAGTGGAACCTCAGTGTTCTCATTCTTAGATGCCCAAGGTCTTCCGTACGCATTCTATTTCACCCGAAGAGGTGCAGTTTTGCTTTTGGGTGTTTATAAACTTCCATAGTTCTAAGGTTAGCTGTATTTCGGACAAGCAAAGCACCGCCAGGAAACATACGAACGAGTCATCGTCGCTAACGAAGCCTAGTGTTGTGATCCAAGTAAAACAGGTCACAAGTCACTTACTTTCCACCGAAAATGTACCCTGGGGGAAAGAAAGCAAAAATCAGGATTATCGTAAACCAGAGCTCGATCTATTTGTTCAAAATCAAAATGAGAGAAAAGTGCACAAAGCGTACGGTACGCTCGTGAGGAATTTGTGTCGGCTGACCGGGACTATCGTGACCGGTCTGGACTGACGTTTACAACTAATCAAGGGAAATCACACTTCCAACATCCTTGTTCGACTCAGGCAACCGAGGAGTATTATTTGCTCTTGCAGCTCACCAGCCAACCAAATGAACATGCCATCGCCTTCAAGGTGTTTGGCTGTATGTCCCACATTTTCCCACTTTCCAGTGCTCGAAACTGTAGCAGTTGGTACCATTGTATCTATGGTGCACGTTTTATAGCTTATAAATTGAACGAATCATAGTCCCCCGAGGAAACGAACTTTGATTTGCGTCCCAAAATAATATGAAGCGAAGAGGAGTGAGTCGGTTACGCAGGTGAAATAAATAAGCGGAATTCCAAGCCAAACAACTCAAAATATGGATAGTTCCACAAGCCAGATCTGAGCCATTGCCAAGGAATAAGTGCCCGCAGAGCATGGTTCTCTCGTGCTGGCGTCGAGGTAAGCGGAATTTTTGAAAACACCGTTACCTAATGCCTGTAGTAAGTGAGCATGGGACAGGTTGGAAGGTTACGCCTTTAAAACTGCTGTCAGTGGCAATAAGGAACGCTAAGTCAAAAAGGGCAGACACCTAATCGCGCCGTAAACCAGGATACAGGATTTCATGGATACCACAGGATTTTGGAACGATGACACTGGAATTGGAGTGTTTCATGAAGTGAGGTCAACAGCTCGGTAGAATGGATGGGTATCACAAGCAATGGCTCGAGGGTATGACAACACAGACGGACATGAGTTCAGGTTGTCTCTGACATCTTGCCTCAAGGTGGGGGATAAAATCAAACTGCCTGCTCCTCAAGCATCAGGCGGAATTTGTGATGCACACTGCAGTCTTCTTTCCCGGTAATGTGTGGAAACTGTTTGAGAGACAATGCTTCTCCATCGTCCCATCCAGGACCACTCTTGGATGGAAGGACAACGGTATTGTAAGATGAGGGATTCTGAAGAGTAAAACTAGTGGTCGACAAGCCATCCTTCGCTCGCAGTGACACAACCGACCTACACGCATTTTTGCACTGCCTCTAGTACAACCAAGGATGTTGGGAGGCTTTTTAGCTTTCAAACTGCTGAAACTGGCACCTCTGCGGTTTGTGTTTGTCAACAGCACATGCTTGTTCGTTTAATGAGAATACGATCCTTATGGAGTCAAATACACAGACAAATATAGACGGGTATGCCTCTTCTTTTATCATATACAGTTGCTAAATCTGATATTTTCTCTGCCAACTGATTGCCATTTAACCTTTTTCGCAACCAGTTCCGCTGAAACGTGTCCACTTTCGGCCGGTTGATTGAATTAGGATGTTGCCCGTTGTACTTTTTGGAGTCTCCCAATCCGCGAGTCCTGTTATTTCTTGGGCCCTTGAGTATCTGGCGTTTGAGGGATCTATCTGTACGCGCTATCGTGGTCGCTAGTTGCTGGTACGGCTTTTCTGGCAGCAATACGACCTACTAATTTCAACGATAATAGTGTTCCATTGGTCAACTCACATGGCTTGGGCAGACAGTCCTGGGAGCTGAAAGCATTGATTCTTTAAAACTCTTGTATTCGTCTTCTAAAAAACCGTTAGTTGCTCGGCTTTTCTGGCAGCAATACGACCTACTAATTTCAACGATAATAGTGTTCCATTGGTCAACTCACATGGCTTGGGCAGACAGTCCTGGGAGCTGAAAGCATTGATTCTTTAAAACTCTTGTATTCGTCTTCTAAAAAACCTTCGTCATCAGCTTGACTGTATTCCCAGATAACTTCAATACTGTCGAGTTGCTTTACCCCTTTAAAGACCACAAAGTGAAGCACCGTGCTTCGGCACGCATAACGCTTGAGGGAGGTGGATCGAATCCACTGATCAACGTGCAAAAAGATGCTGTGACACGTGGACGTTCACCACTACAGCTCAATGGATCACTGAGGTACGAAAACCGTTTTTTCGGTCCGCTTCACTGAATCCGTTCACTCTGATGCGAATGCTAAACAATGTCACATTTACTCCTCAAATGAAGTTCTAGACCAGACGACCGTCGCAGTATTTCAAGCGGTTGAATCACTCGACACATTTGAAAGATGACGATAATGGCACTCATGGCTTGTCGTGTCATTGTAGTACGACGGTACGGTAAAACTGCTGCATTCACAACCGACCATGTGCCACCTGTCTAGGCCAGAACCTCATGAAAGGCGTCACATTGGATATTTCATGTTACATTGGCTCTTCATTAGGACGTTAAAAGACCGGGGATCTCTATACCGCTGGTTCGTGCTTATTGCTGTACCTTACTTCGCGGAGCTTACCTTACTCACGGAGCTAAATTTTATCCGACGTAATCCGGAACTCTGCTTACATTCGGGCCAATGAATACACTTCACTGTTCAACGCTATGTAGCCGAAACAGGCATACACACGACGTACGATTGGTTGACCCCTTAGCAAAAAAATTTTTCAAACCACATCTAAACTACGACGAGTAATGAGCCAACGTCAGTTCCAAATGTCACACCTTGCTTAGTTTCGCACAATAGATCTTGTGGACTGTTAAAGGATTTGGGGGACTGAAGAAAAAAGGTATACTGTACGCGCCACCCCCCGGAAATACGGCAGTGGAGAATCAGTGTTGAACACTGATGACATGCTGTCGATGGTGATGATGCACCACCCCCCACCCCCGGAAAACATGAAAAAATCGGACATTTATGCATATCAAAAACCTACCCATTAACTCGAGTACGAGCACCAGACTGACTGCTAATACAACTGATGCAATAAGGAATCTTCTCTGAAACGACAGCCAGATCACGACGACGTGGTCACAAATACAACGAGGGGAGGAATGGAAGAGAACGACAGTAAGAGACCACAAGCACTGAAGACATGTTTGTAGGATGAAATAGCAAGTATATTAGGACACACAACGAATTTCTACTGGAATGACGGGGACAACAAGAACACAAACATTAATAACTTAGCCAATCCTAAAGCAAATCAACCTAAATTTTCTGGATGCAATAGACTGTCCACGGCAAGTGGGCATGTAGCCCTCGGCTAGTCTAGGTCATTTACCCAACTCATCAGGTGGCAATATATTCCATGCATGCGTTCAAGCTTGTCTGGCCTCTTGTTCTGGTACTGCCGCGAAGATCACTTCAGACGAGGATTCAAAACAATGACTTTGTTTATAGCTCGGGCTGGCCGGTGACGATAGATTGGGGGCTTTTTTGTGGGTGACAAACCGATAGAGACTGGAGCAAAATATGGCCAAGGTTTGAATGGATGCCGAAAACCTCAGCCAAATGTACGCTTCCGACTCACCAAACCAGAAAAAACAAGGATGGAAAATGAAATACACATGCAACCAAGTGCGAAAATAGTACCTCAGCAGGGAAAACAAGCACTTACAGCCCAAAGCCACCACGACGACCAAAACGACGGCTCCAATTATGATATTCATCTGCCAGTTGAAATGGGAACGGGGCAAAACTGTTTAAAAATCAGCACCGTGTGATAAAATCTTACCGTCAATCAGCTGATCCAAGGTAGTGGTCTAAAAACACCCTTGAGGAAAAACAACCTGACAAGAACCAGCACGCTAAGATCTCATGGGGGTGACGGGCCGCACGTACATTCGATTATTCATTTATCTCCCGATATAGATGGCCGAAAGGCTAAGTGATTAATCGATAGGACGCTAAAATCGGTGGCGGAGTGGATTGCCAAAAAATACGAAGGCTTCCCCAACCTATGAGATAGGCAGGGAAACACCACAAGTGGGACGATCAAGACACTGAGAAGGATTTACCTACGCATTCTACCCAGTAAAGTCTTAAAACCGCCTGGAGTTGTCACCTGCTCTAGCCTGATTTACACATGGGAAGTTGAACTTAGCAAGGTGGGTATCACTTCTGAGCTTCAGGGCTTCTTTCGAGACCCAGAATTAACCCTATCCCAATGTTTCCGAATCGGGTCTCTACACCTTTAATGATCCTGTCTAACGTGCAGTTGAAATCACGAGTGTCTTCGAGAGCTTCCCGATAACTTGCCTCCTTGCTCTTCTTTATCAGCGATGACGTGAAGTCGTGGGAGCATTCCAAATTCCCATAAACCTAGCTTCTAAGTGCAGAATCCATCTTTTTATCTCCGCCCCATGAAGTTTCGATCATCTCTAATCATGCAGAAGCATGTTTACACTCGCCGTCAGGCTGGAACATCCCTTCAGTGCCTGGCTGTCATACCACTCGAAGGACGAAGGCTGAGATACTGTCAAGTTGCCCAAGCAGAGGTCGGATTCGAACCACGGACCCGAGTTCGCGTCTTAGCCCTAATGACACATATGTGCTGTCAAACGTGTTCGTCACTTGTTTTCTGTTTCCGTCGTGCGTAAAAATCAATGGATAAAAGAAGTTCGACAGGGATGAACTCGTACTCACTCCCAACTGACGGAAAAGCAGTGAGGCATCAGCTACAACCGTAGTGGCTGTTTATGACTGTGACCTTAGTACGTCTAGTGGCTACATGTCGGTGGGTACACCAAAAAAGCAAGCTTGCAGAACATAGACCAACAAATTCACTGGAACAGAACTCCTTCCAACCAATGGCACGATACACCACCAAGAACTAGTAGATCATTGACAGCAAACAGAACAGGTAGCCTACCTTCATGTTTTTCCACCAATACTTGTTTTTCAGTTTCCCAGCGCTCGCTTCGAACTGTGAGGCACCAGCTTGCAATGCATCTGCAAAATAAACAAATCCAAGGCGGTGTATGATAAGCGAAGGAACCGCGGACCAAGAAACAATTTGTAAGCAGAATATTTGATTCAAAATGATGCACGTGATCTACACTAGGGTACGGTACATAAAATGTTAAGCCATTTCAACAAATCACTAATCGCCTATGGAAGCATGGCTGCACGGTAGCACATTCAGACGATTCTCACCCTTAGTCATTCCCGTCAGTTTCCAACACCTTCAGCTCCTTAGAACTAGAAGTCTTTCGCTAGGCCTGTGCAGTATCACTTCAGGTCCACATAAGACCACGATTCGTCGCACTTTTGCATGGGACGAACACGGCATCCTAAAGGAAACTGCGACCACAAAAATTCTGTGAAATATGATACTCGATGGCTCAATCAAAAACTCAAAATTGACTATAAATCACGGAATACAATATATCCAGAGTAACAAACCTAGCTGTTAATCGGGACCCAACTAAAGTAGAGAGTTCGGTTTCTGTTGCTTCAAGCACAGCGATATACCCGGAAGCGCCACTAGAACAGAGGTACCAAACAAGCACTGCGTATGTGAACGAGGTAACACTAATGGTCAAGGGTAAAATATCTTAATGCTCCGTCGGTCGAACATCGTATACTCCTCACTTTTTGTTTTATCGGAACGAACCTCTCTAAGTCGGTTGACCGTGCCATCGTTTCTTCCTGACATTTCAGTATCCCGAAAAGTAATGGAGTTCCGGATGATGTTTTGGCGCGGCTGGTTGAATTCTACGGGAAGCTCACTGGGAGTGATTTCAATTCGGGCAAAAGCGAATGCGTCATTAACATAGCGTCCATAAATGCCAAATTTTTCCACAACGGCATTCGACTGGGGCGTCTCAACCTTGTCCATGGATTTATTGGCTAGCGATGGCTTAAACAGAACGAACCTTGTCGTGGTGTGGTGGCTTGTGTGCCTGTGTGACCTACTGAGATATCGTGTGTGTGACACTCCCAGTCTCACACCGGTTAGTCAATGGTTAGAGGTCTGATCAGCAGTCACCTGGCCCTACAGGTTGTGCGGCGAATTTTTCCATAAAAATGGTGATGCACTTGCATTTCCCGCTAGATACCACTACTTTGCGGTCATGCTTCTGAGCCAAAGGCTTTGGTCGAAGACCTTAATCGTCTTCTAGCCCAGGTCTGGGCGAACTGGCAGTATCCCAATCATGATACTTACAACTAACAATAATCTTATGTCACATCGGCCACCACGTGGTGTAACCAGTCGGGTCGACTTCGTTGCTACGTACAGCAGAACGGGTAAACGAAAAACACGCTACCGTTGACGCCTCCGTTCTCACCGCAGGTCCCAGCACCATAATTGCCCGCATCACCTCCAGCTGAGGCTTCTGAGTGTCCGACTTCCGTAAAAACTCTAAGCACTTCATTGTTTTTAAGCCCTGAAGGCCGACCTAATTAGTCACCTTTAGTGTCCAAACATTAAAGCCAGAATAACAGGTGGCTTTTTCTCGTACGCTGGATTCTCTCCGCATTGATGCTGTTGGTTGGAAACAAGCATACACGATTGTGACAGCATTGACTACCCCCACGCTACCTTCCAGTTTCCGGTTGCGCACCTCTAGTGATGCGGCTGCAGCTGGATAAAGAGATCAAAAAAATAACAGATAATCATTCAGCTGTACCACCCTTTCAGTGCCTAGCTGCCACGCCACCTAAAGGGAGCGCGAGGGCTGGGATACTGTCTGGCTGCCCAAGCCCAGGCAGGAGTCGAGAGGCAGAGATCGGATTCGAGCCACGGACCTTCCGGTCAGTAAATTCGCGCTCTAACCACTTGAGCCATCTCTGCAGCTGGATATGTCGGAGTGTGGATTGTGCTGAGCGAGCGAGCGGAAGCGTCTCTACTTGATGGGATAGCCGTTGATAGCCGCCTCTGCGCGGTTCGTCTGTGAAATAATCTCACGAAAGTGAGGCCCATCGCACACCGTTTAGTGTCTGCCTAAGACCCAAATGACTGTAGCTCCTTGTGGCGCACAAGGTGCTTTTCGATAACAAGCTAATAGCTCAGACGTTGCGGTTGCTGATGGCATGTACCCTCAGATAGGTAGACTTCCGTTTGCTGTACAACCCAATCTACCTCATCCAAACATCGAGTCTTTGACAAGATCGCTTTGCTGAAGGCCCGGGGAGAGATTTCACCTGGTCATAACCACGACTCAACCCGGCACATCATCCGACATCAAGGGAAACTGAGCGTCCGTGAACACCGATGAGCTTGGTGGAGCCGAAAGGCCGAAGAAATGGAAGATGCAAAGAATGCTAGAAGCGTCCGCAGGCTGTTCCACTTGATTCGCTCGACGGTTCCCTGAAAGTCTTTTCGGTGAATTTGTCAGGAACCAAAATGGCTTGATGATATCCGGCAAAGCAAAACGCCTAGACTGGTGGACACAGTACCCCGAACATCAATTCAGTTGGCCAATCCGGTATACTGGCCTTCAACAAAGAGACAGACTGTGGATATGGAGCCTCCTTCAACCACAGAAGTATCCGATTGCACTTATCTACTTAGGCAATGTCGGGCTCCAGATTCTGACGACTTTGCACCTGATCTATTCAAGGATGGTAGTTTGATGGGATATCAATATCACCAAAAACCCTGTATCTGTTTGTGCTTACGAACTTCCGGTATTTCCAAGGTCAAATTATGGTTATATAAATATACGTATATGCACTGTCCTTTTATCGCTATCGTCTGTTAATCGATAGTATTTCGGAGCATTACACTCGTGTCCAAGGCCTCGTCTCCTTATTATTCCGCTGTACTAGGAGTCAGGAACAGACAACACACCTGGGGATAGCATATCGTCACAGTCTGCGCATATTATCGTGATCGAAACCTTAACATGGTCGATTCCTCAGTTAGTGCCTATTTAAATCTACCTTGAAGATGGACCGCCCCATAAAACTGGGGTGAGTTGATAAGGGTACCCATTCTCAAAAAGGGCACTTGCAATAAATGCAGTAATTAGAGGTGCTAGTTTGCCTTCCATTGTAATAAGGCTTTTAGCGCAGCTGATTCTTCATTTTACGAAGGCACACGAAACCGACCCGTAGGCATCAAGTGGGAGTCAGGCCAAGCACAGGCTCCGTTGGACACATCTTCACAATCCTTCGGTTGTTAAAGCGACGAACCAATCTTGGCGTTCCCCAATTCAATAGTGCGTTTGATTGATTCTGCTCAACAGGGTGTGTCCCAGAAGTCTATGAACATAAGCCCATCCCTATATTCTCACATTTTCCTGACCGTGTGTATGGTGAGCTACCCAAAAGCTTCTCCATAAAACATTTTGTCTGACAATGACGTTCAATCTTCCCAATCTTGTCCAACTCCGTCATCGAAGAAATAATGGAACAAACGCTGGAAGTTCCTCAAGACCCCGGGGTCAAGACTGTTCCTGGTGGTGACCCAGTCTAGCTGACCCGGTGTTTTTAAAGGAGTTAGAACATAGTTAAATTGTACCCAACTTTAGCGGATTCCCACATTTCATGGACATTGTCAGGATCCGCTCAGGGAATACAGGTCAACCAGTATTTCAGTAATCTGTCATCACATCACCGAGCCAATAAGGTTTCAATGGAATGAGAAGTGGAGATCGCTTTATGATAAAGCCTGCACTAGTTTTACTTCATGTTGCCAAGACAAGAGTTGGGCTCAAGGTATTTCATCGATGAAGAGTGATCACTCTTCCTTCGACCAGCGAAACGTAGGCATGAATATACACTGCAGAACATGTGGGTACCTGCACGATCATCCAGCTGGCTCAGTTTGGCGTCGCGTTCCAACACTTTTTCCATGTTTACGCGCATGATGTCAACGACCTCGTCAACCTGAGCTTGTGTTTGCTGCAACCTTTTGTTCTGTGGACGAGATGGTGCTAGTCCACCATCAGTGGCCTCAGGATTGCCCGCTTCTGCTGACCTGAAAAACAGCGATACATTGGTGTGGGGTAAAATGAATTCAAGCATGCGGCGGTCACAGTGGTGGTGTAAAACGCCATGTTTTCTAAATTAAGACCTACTTTCTTGCTGTCGATGACGATGAGTTACCAACACAAATTTAGGTTTCCGTGCATTTCAGAGCCATTTACAAACGCTAGTGATTAACCTAAACACGTAACGAATCACCCGGTGGGCAAAAACCGGAAAGGAACCCTGTCAGCTACAACACTTTGTAGACTCAAAATGCGGCCGTCACCTCAACGACGAAACATTTTGCAGATTTCACACTACAAACCGCGGTGAAATAAGTCCTGATGATACAGAAGGCTGACCCGAGCGCCTTAGAATGTGGTGACGCCAAATCTGAATAGAAAATGTGAAAAGGACGAAAGCCTATCTAAGCCAGACACAGACATGCAGTGATAGGTGAGTAGGGAATTTCAGGAGCTAAAGGTACAATGTTTCTCTACCTCATCGGTCGCAGTAGTCAACAAGGACAACTGAGGTTTATTAGTGAGTTTATTTATCTGTGATTTTTGAGGCTCCAGTAGGTTCTCCCCGTGTGAAAAAACCGACAGTATGGACAACAGTGCCGTGCCATCATCGCGCTATGAAGAGGTATTTCGGCTTTGCAAGGAAACAAGTGCACTATCGGAATATAACCTCCGTAAACGGCTGCCCCAACGAGTGGCAAATGTGCGAAGATGATCAAGGGCTATTTCCGGTTCAACACAGCCTGAAGCTATCAGGTGCGGTGAATGCTTGCATAGGAAGCACCTTACAGATGTCGCAACAAACATACTGGATTCAAGCATACCAACATGTAGATTTAATCATAGCTAAACCGATAAATTCTTCAATGAGCGAGATGAAAGATGCTGACTGCAACACCTGAAGTGATCCCAGCATCAGTTACTGCTTTACTATTAGCCTATACTTGATCCTGATATAAGGGTAATGTTCATCACACTCAAAAAGTTCGAAAACAACTCTGTGACATCTACAACGGAACCTACATCTGACAGGGAGTTCAAAAGTCACAGTACCGCGCTGCAGCAACCTCCATCGAGGGGATCGATGCAATAAAAGAACTCGCGTCAGTTCAGTACGCTCAATGATTTCAACGGGGCTATACAGAAAGGGGAAGCCGGATGCTCTGAGACTCGGAACAAGGGGTTTCGATACTGCGCGCAATTACAGTGTGGTAAAATAGAGATAGATCATCCACTTCAGCTTGGACTTCTAGATACTCCATTGGACCTACGCCAGACTACTCCATGAATATACAAATCATGTTGCATATTCTGGACACGAGGACGACGTTACCCTGTTAGTACTGTAATAGTCATGAAGTTAACTCAGGAATCAGAAGGTGGCAAGCGACAACAAAGCCCGTTTTTAAAATGGTAATTACAATACTTATTAAACTAAATACAGCATCAGAATGAAACGATTCATAAGGTTACTTGTTGTTTGAGCACCATTATTGAGGGTTCCTCAGTAAATGTGTAGCAGTGTGGCGTATTTTTTCCGTAACTCAACCTCTACATGTATTTCATAATTCTCCGTGGACTTGGTGAATTCCGATCTATTGCTGTCCTGTGTGTTATGGTGGTTTGCGTGTGTAATTATCTTTAAAGACGGTTGCGCGAACGAAAACAACTTGGCCTCATATTGGCGAAGGTTGTGAAACTGACGCGTGATGCGAACGGTGGTGGCGTAAACGAAATGGATGGTGAAAGGTGCCGCGCCCTGAAAGAACAATGCTTTTTCATACAAGACCCTTGCGAGTGGAATAAAACTTTCTACACCCAAGTGTTGCATTTTGTTGCGTATGTGCTCAGACCAGCAATCACCCCAAAGTACCGTCATTTTTTGCCATTTGTTTCGAATAATCTCCTTTGTAAATTTTTGCGTACATTCTATTTTGAGCTTGCTGTGTTCCGAATTGAGAAATTGGAAGCTGAATACTTTCCATTCTTCGCAACGATTGAGAAGGCGCTGAATCACTGAACGAAGAATAACTATGTGGTACTTGTGCGTTGCACATAAAAGGCCTGACAAGGATGCAAGGTGTCCACATTATACGCCGGCGGTTGATTCGATGTCTCGTAGAGTTAACGACAGGTAGGCCCCAACACTCAATGTGGCAACACATCAGGATCCCAGAAAAGGCTTGAATGTAACTCTTGATGTCCCATTAACACAGATTAGAGTTTGGTAGCGCTGAGAAAGCCAAGGAGGTGCGAGGTATTTGGATTAATAACGACGTTTATTCTCAACTTGTGTGTGGTATACCGTTAGGCATGATCATATTGTTACAGTCAGAATAAAAGTATGACTGGCAGGGATTGTGGGCGCAGGATTGGTTAAGGCAGAGGGACTGCGTCATAGCGGGTGGGCATAATCCGATGTAGGCGTAGCCAGAGCTAGGCCGACACGGGCAGACAAGCACAGTTACCGTGCGCTTTTGGAGAGTATATCAAGCAAGATCGGATCGTTAGGATTTGTAGGTGGCGGGGGAAATCCAACGCTGGGGAGGGCAAAGCAAGAGGCTTACTGCCTGACAAATGACAAGAAATATGTAACAGTGGAAAATGAGAAACGAGGACATCAGATATGGTGAATCAGCAGAATAGGCGTCATCCAACCGATGAGACTGAACCAGAGCACTAGACCACCTCTGAGGCGTTGATGCCATGAAGTGTTGGGCTCATGGCCTGGGTCACTAAAAAGGGTAATCGAGGATGATGAAATGGAGGGTAGCAAGGCGGTGAAAGCAAAATGAGTCTCAGAAACACCGTGTACGGTGGAACTGCAGAGATTGTGGTTTAACCTGAAACTACGTAGGCCCACTGGTGCTACTGTTGTGGGGAAGTTAGTGCAAGGGATAAGTTCGGCGGGGAGATAGCGCTAATGCATAGGGCCAAACGAAAACCATGTACGGAATTGAATTTGTGGAAGTGGCAAACCGCGCTTGGTTAAATCCGAACGAAAGTTTCAGTGGGCTAGAATGAACTCGTCCCAGAGGCATTCGGGGTCGGTTGAGAAATTTGCTCGTAGTTGCAATTACAGCCTCGGGTGAGTGAGAGGGTGCGATCGAGGTTCTGAAGAAAATAGCCGCTGGAGTGCCACCATACTGTGTATGGCAGTGCCATGTCATCATGGCACTGACATAATTCGGTTTATGAACAGCCACGTAACGGCTGTCAAGGATGCCTCCATCGAAGGGGGGCTGCTGTATCTTGATTGGGCGGGGAGATTGACCAAATAGATCAGGCCGGTGCAGGAATAAGGATAATTTCGCTAAGTTGGTGGACCGTGTGAATGTGGACCGGGACCAACCATACTGGATGAATAATAGTTGCACGGGTGTCTGAACAATTCAGGCGGAGTTCAAAATGTCAGCCTCGGCGGTGGAGATTTAGGTGACAAATCAGGTAAATGATCAAGAATTGCGGCTGTTCAGCAAGCGCAGGTCCTGCAGAGGTAGACGGGCCGGGATCGGCAGAATCACGCTGTAATTAGCTTCACGGATTCACGGATTGATACACAGGATCGAAGCTATTGCCGGAGTTTCCCGGGTCACCTTTGTTCTTGTCGGTCAGTAGCTGTCGTTCACCTGAAAGGCGCGAGTGAAAAAAGGGTGTATCACTGCTCTTTATGTTCTCAGCACGGGACAGCGTGCTCGCCAGCGCGAGGATTCGCATAAATAAATGTCTAATAATGGTTTAAACTGGGTTCTAGAAGGAGCGTGAACAACCGTCGGAGGAAGTTCATTCCACGCACCCACTGCACGAAATGAGAAGAAACTTTCTCTAATGAATGAGTGTGCTCTGAGCTTGAAAATCTTCTTACTATGTCCCCGCCGTGTGTTTACTGGGTCAACGGTGAGAAACCTGTTTGCCAAGCTTTGTTCAAACAGGGCATAAGTAAGAATTAGGTCCCCTCGGAGGCGACGGTACTCCGAGAGAAAGAGATCAAGCATCGCGAGACGCGTTTCGTAGACCACTGATTTGAGGCCGGCAACCATTCTCGTAGCGGTTCACTGGACACGCTCAATGAGGATGACGTCTTTCGCGCGTCCTGAGATGACTATTTGGTTGGCGTATCCCAGGAGCGGTCTGACGTGGGCTCCATGGAGTAGTTGGAAGTCCATGCGAATAATACCAGAGAAGGTGCGTCGGATCATCCTTAAAATGGCGAATGCCTTTCGGGTCGATTTCTCATGGTGTAGTGAGAAAAACAATTTTGAGGATACCCAGTTGCCCAAATCATTTTTGGCATCTATCCTCATGATGTTTTCTGGTCCTTCCTCACCATGCATAACAAAGGCATTCGCTAAATCCCCTCCAAACGATATATGGACGCACTTTTCATCATTCAGATGAGGATGCCAGTCCAACGACCACTGCTTGGCAGCGTCTACATCCATTTGGTGGGCACTGGCATTGGTACTCCAGGATTTCAAGTCGTCCGCAAAAAGTAGACTTGGACTTGCAAGAACATCTGGAAGGTCGTTGATGTTTATCAGAAACAGCAGTGGGCCCAGGATGGAGCCTTGAGGAACTCCAATGGAGACCGGCGCTGGGGAAGAGTAGGTGGAGGCTATTCGCACTCGGAATGATCTGTCTGGTGGGAACTCCTTGATCCAGTGAAGGATTTTTCCTTGAATCCAGTAAGATCCCAGTTTGTTGAGCAGCCGGACGTGTAGGGCCCTATCAAATGCTTTCGAGAAACCGAATAAAATGGCATCCGAAATGAGTCCTCCCTCCATGGCTTGGGTTAAGCTGTCCATAAGTACGAGCATCTTCGTCACGCAAGAACCAGAGGGGTAGATAATGCACCCTACGAAAGCCGGGTGACCATGCGCTACGCTGAATTTAGCGTGTTTGACTCATCGAAAACTTTAGCGGTTCTCCGCAAGCGTCGGTTCACTAAATTGCATGTTTCTGGCCAACAAGCGTTCAGACAGCCCACCAGCCAACAAAATGTTCGTCAAAATAACTACTGACACTGACAGAAGTGTCATGAGAAGTGAGACTCCTCACCAAGTGTGAGATCAAAACCACACTAATCCGGATCTGCAGAAAGAGGCGGTCGGATTTTCTCGGTTTTATTAACGTTCAATGCGTAGTTACTCGGGCTAGCTAAGAGGTTGAGACATTAACATAGCGAGCACGAGGCCCGTGCTTCAAACCAATTCTAGCATTACAGCGGCTTTCTACACGTAGGAAACCTGACAGCATCTCGGCTCTCTTCCCTTTTCGAGAAGCATGGCGGCTAGGCACCAAATGAGCGTTAATACTGGATTAAATTCAGTGCGTATGAACTCAAAGCCGCAACTCCTGGGTACTCAACACCATCTCAAAAGGTCACTACAAAAAACTTGTGTGAAGATAACCCATCGCCACCGACTTGGCTTCTATTCGACCACTCATTCTCCTAGTGAAGAAACTCTGGAAGATAAGGCAAACGACGCATTTATAAGCTTAAAGAGAACACAAGGTACCGCACAGCTATTTTTGTGTTTCGCGACCCACCCACCCATCATTTAGCACTCATCGCCCCCTGATCAAGACTTTACACGGATATATGCATCATCTCGTCAAAAATATATCCAAAACGCTTCAGTTCTGGCGTAACATGGTAACCTAAGATTGTGTCTTATTAAAATTTGCGTGTGACCTCCGCACCAATGGCTGAAACATTACTGTCTCGCTGTGTGCTAAGGTTGTTGTAAGTTTCCAACAAATAAAGATAAATTGCTATCGTAGCCGTATAAGGAAAACCAATGACGCCACTATCGCCAATCGCCAAATTTGTAGGAGCTTGTACTCAAACTCAAGTGCCGACTTTTTTCGAAGAATGTCAGCTTATTTCGAATGAGGCCTCCCATAGAGTTCTCACTTGTACAGAAGACTTGCGCCTTAGCTATCGACAATAACAAGGGGGTAAGTATATTGCATCTCAAATGATTTTTAAAAGATTGAATTCTCAACCGTGATCAATGAGTATACCTTTTATGGTGTCCTTAATCGAGTGTCAACACGGTTCACTGGTTGGCTCACCGCAGTCATAAGGTACTAGAAGACCCATGGCACTTTTGTATTGCCCATATTCTACAGAGTTCGATATCCGGATTATCATTCTCCACCTTGTAGACGCGCTTCTGGAGTTGATATTTTCACCGTATCTTTGCATGTATTCCGTATAGAAATTTTAAATGCTTTTCGACGGAATGGCAAAAAAGATTTGCCTCAAAATTAATGAAAACGTAAGTATTACCACATAATTCTTTGTTGCCACGTTACTTTGATTCTCAATTTAGATCTGTGTAAAATTGAAAATGTGTCCGTGGACCACTTGCGCGAAAGACTTCGACTACCCTCAGACAACTGAAGGATAGCCACTACAACAAACAAACAACCTGGATCCTTACGTGAAACCCTCAGAAAGCTGAACCACTTTGTTTTCACAGCCCTGTTCAAAACATGCATCATCTTAAGTAGATTTGGGGCCGAAGTTTTGAGTGCCATCAGCGAACCTAGAAACAACAACAAAACTGAGCCTCTAAATTGCTACATAGTCCGTCATAACATCCCCATAGTGCCTTGAATTTCTTCACTTGTTTTCTGTTGCTTGCAGAATATTGTGTGGTGACGCAATACTTACCTATTACGTTCTTGTTTGCTTACGACGTCCAAGCCGTGACTTCACTTCACCCTTGTCTATACCACATCGTGAAGATCACCCATGGAAAGTAGTCTACCAATACCTGAGTTTGGATCGCACCGGATATTGCTGTGCTAGTAGGCTACTCCCCGCCGGGGCTCGTGGCCTAAGAACCTGGCTTGGGCATGCTCACCGAAATATTTAAAACTCTTTCTGTGGACACTCAAGATAAACGCAGTGCATGCTATCATGTGATCGTCCCCTTATTTGTATATTATTTAGCTTTAAGTCCTGTTCACTTTCGAACCATGCAAGACAGCGTGGTGTTGTGTTGCCCTATTTCTAGAAACGCACCTCGCCCACATGTCACTAGAGCCCGACGATGATTTGGTTTACATGCGAGTCCAATGCGGTACTTGTTATTCAACCTCTGCTGAAGTTGCAAACCATGACCCTGCGTCTCATGAGCACGTCGATTTTTATAGCTCGTTCCTTCCCCGAGTTAAAATGGTCAAGTGTACAAATGAGCAGCGTTACGCATCGGTTTTAACCAAACGAGCCTAAAATCATATGAAATCGGAACAGTAATCGGTGAAGAGAATTTAGAGTACATATAGCTGCAAGCAAGGTTGAACTGCGAATAATTCCTTGCTTATTCTCTCCGACAAAGCGAGTGTTACTGGAGGTATCCCTCCTTGACACTGTGAAAGAATAATCAGATGACCGAAGCTTACTAGTAAGACGTGGAACTTTCCTCAAAGGCGCCAATCTCTGTGCAGGCATCGAGGCACAGACATGAGCAATCCAAACCTTTCACCCAGAACCCTATGTACTTCGGCTGGCGAAGAGGGCTAGAAGTAAGCCAGGGGTCTTCTAGAGCAGCTTACCATCAGCCAAAACAGTGCAGATTGTCGTAGATGGAATCGTAGGTAAACTGGTGATCAAATGACTAAACGGCTAGAAATCCAGTGTGTTGCAGGAGCAGAATGTGTGTGAAGTAATACTAGCATTAGGAAGAGCAAAAGGAAAACTTGTTTATGTGGTTGACATGGGTATTACAGAGTAGGGTGTGAATGACCGGATTTTCAACCTCGCGAAATGGGGTCATCGAGTTCAGGTGAAATCCCTAAGGCTCCGATCAATACTTGAGTTAATTAGAGTCGTATTTATACTGCGAAAGCAACACTGAACACGCCATTTAATAATGGACGTAGCAAAACGGGTCCATACAATTATCGACCCGGCAGCAGTACTTCAGAAGTTCTAGAAGCGTTCGAAAGAACAATAAGGGATTTGCCTGTGTCAACCGACAGTGACTTTTAAGAGGAATTCTATTCAAGACAAAAACACAAGTGCGTGTGATACTGTTAAAGTGTAAGAGGCAAATGGGATTCTGAATAATAACGAACTCTTTGGTCGACCAATAAAATCACAAATGGGTGTGCAACTTGAAAGGCGAGTAGTGAAATGCGATGATAATATAATTAACGACCACATTATGACTTTTACATCGGCTGGGGTTTGACATGGGTGGCGAATGCTCAAATGCGGGTAACAACGGTGAAACGTTTATAAGTAGGTTTATCAAGTCTTACGAATGAGCCAGGGGTCTCCTTACCAACTACTAATAAGGCGGTGATATTTTGAAATTTAAAATATAGATTAGAACAGACTTTTGGGTATTGCAATTTTTCCGCTACCCTTTGAAGTATTAGATACTGCGTGATGCCCCGAAAACCATGACATGCGGTGGGATATACCTCTGTTCTGTTGAAACGAACGATTGAGGTATATCACCTCGGCACTGTGGGTCACACAACTGAGCCTTGATTTTTCCGCAAGTGTCTGCTGCCACGCCTTTTGTGGAAAACAGGTTTAGGAACAGTTAGCTCTCTGTGCAGGGAGGTGCTGTTTGTCAAATATTGCTGGTGTTATATCTTCCATTCTCGTGGAGTAGAAAAGATAGATGCAAACGAAAGTGACCTCAGGGGGAAAGAGACTCCAGTAAGGTTGTTATTGTGTTTATTCAGCCTATCAGACATGTTGTCCTCCCTCCATTGTCCCGTCCACCCTAATTGTTAGCTTGTGGGGTATGTGGGATGAAGTTCGGAACACGAGATGTGCTTTATATTGAATAGAGAATATGACAGCCCCTTTGAGTATATAAGATGATCAATTTCAGCCACTTATGGATGATGCAGGGAATTGTGTGATTTTCTGAGCTTGTTGGTATCGCGTACAGATGCATGAAAGTTGCAAGAGAGCAGTAGCTACTCGGCTTTCTCTAACCGGCTCCTGAATATCAGCGTAATTAGCATACTAGATTCTGCATCTTCGGGTTTCAGCATCCTGCTCTTT